TATTGTGTGTATGTGTGGTGTAGGTGTATTGTGTATATGTATGTATACATGTATGTATGTGTGTGTGGTTTTTTTTTTGGGGGGGGGTTGATTAAGAGATCCTGTTTCAAAGAATATGAAAGACTCATCAAGGAAGATCTCCAACATTAACCCCAGGCTCCCACATGCACAGAAGAATACATGCATATATGCATGTTACTGAAAGGAACAAGTTAGCTTTACAGGTTTCTTTATGAATTTTATACCTCATGTTAAACTAAGTTCTCTCAGTACTTTTCCAGAAAGCAGAAGGACATGGACACAAGGGAGAAGCGGGCAAATTGAGACAAGACCCATGGGTCCACCCTGTAGTAAAAGAGTAACCAGACTGATAACTGAGAGATAACATTGCCTAGCAACGATGGCCTGAATAAACCTCTTGCATTTGCGTCAATAAGGTCTCCAAGAGTTTCCCTCAGTTGCCTCTCGGGCAATCAGGCTCCTGCTGGGCCTAACAGTTACCACACACACAATGAATAAACATGTACACATACATATACAAACAGTATTTTAAAGTTGCTTCACACAAGTTCCCACCACACACGGCCCATGTGCATGAACACACATACACACACACACACACACACACACACACACACACACACAAAGTTCTATTTCTCCACAGAGCCCCCACCTTCAGTCTTTCCCTCTCTTCTATCCCTCTCCATCACTACCATAAACAGTTCTTGGGATGTTCTTCCTTCCTAAAACTTGTGCGTGTTTTTCAGATGCTGGGATAGTGAATCTTTCTGATTTGTGCTTTACATAGATTTAAAAACACTGTGCACCCACTGCATACTGGTACCCATAACAACATCTGGTCGATTTTCTACCCAGTGACTGTAAGGACAGACTGGGTGACAAAGCAAGCCCTTGTCTCAAAGGAGACAAAACCAAGTCAGGCAGTACCACTCAAGAGCACACCTATTTAAGCACCATAACAACAACCTTTTAGTAAAACTGTGAGCCTGTGGTGTAAATGAATCTGTGGAAGGACAGCACACACCAGTAGCCTGGGAATCATCTAGACTTTTTGCAAATGCCTGGTTTGCAGGGATTATACAGAGGGGCTTATTATGAAAGAAACTTAGTTCCCAGAGGCAGAGAGAATGAATAAATGGAGAGATGTTATTAAAAGCATAAAGAATGGGCCAGGTATGGTGGTGCACACCTGTAATCCCAGCACTCAGGAGGCAGAAGCAGGAGGATCTCTGTGAGTCTGAGGCCAGCCTGGTCTTCAAAGAGAGTCCAGGGCAACCAAGGCTACACATAGAAACATTCTCTCGAAAAACAAAAACAAAACAAACAAAAAGAATAAAGAGCTTCCATTTTTACAAAATGAAGGGTTATGAAAAACAGATGGTGGTGACGGTTGTAGAATATTATGAATGTACAGTTAAAGATATTTAAGTGGAAATTTTTAGGTTTGATTTATTTTATCACAATAAAAATATTGGTGAAAGGAATGTAAATATATTTTATCAATCTTTGAGAATTTTATAGTATATATTTTGATCAGACTCACTCTACATTTTTCCCTCGACTCTTTCTAAATTCACCCTCTACTTCATGTCCTTTAAAAAAAGAAGATATTAGCTCATAGCAGGTATCCTGGGAAAATAATTTAAAATTATTTCAAATTATATAGAACCAATATTTGTGTGTGTTTCTCCATTTCTCTTCCTGTCTCTCAGTCTCTGTCTGTCTTGTGAATACACACACACACACACACACACACACACACACAAAGAGAGAAACAGAGACAGAGAGAGACAAAGAGAGGCAGAGGGAGAGACAGACAGGTATATTTCTACAACCCAGAGAGACTCATCCCAACAGCAATTTTACTCTGAACACTTAGACTGCACAGGGGCAAGAGCCTGGCACTAGTCAGATCACGCTGCACATGTGTACCGAGGCCCTGCTCAGATCACTTTAACATCTATAACCCTTGCAGTGTGAAGCTTCCTACTTGCTGCGTCAGTGGCTGTCTCAAGCCATAAAAGGACTTCCCCTTTTTTAGTAAGTTTCGGCTGTCAGCATACCTTTTAGAGTGGTAGTTCCCAGAGGATCCCCAGATCCCTGAGGATCTCTGGAAACTCCCAAGGTCATTTAAGGAAGCTCGAGTTTCCATAACAACAGAAAGCTGTTGTTTCAGTTCACTCTCACAAGCTCATGAGTGGGTAGTGGCTTTTCTCAGGAGCTGCCTGATGAGAAGTGATATCACACCTCTGTTAGCTGACTGGATATCCTTGC